TTTTTTTTTTTTTTTTTTTGAGACAGAGTCTCACTTTGTCACCTTCAGTAGAGTGCTATGCCGTCAATAGCTCACAGCAATTTCAGATTCTTGGGTTACAGTGATTCTCTTGCCTCACCCTCCCAAGTAGCTGGGACTACAGGCACCCACCAAAATGCCCAGTTATTTTTAGAGACGGGATCTTGCTCTTGCTCAGGCTGGTTTCAAACCCATGAGCTCAGCAATCCATCTGCCTCAGCCTCCCAGAGGGCTAGGATTACGGGCCTATTCTGCGCCTGGCCTGTTCTGTCTGATTTAAAGACCTTTTCTTTGGTTTCGCTATTTTGCAGTGTCACTCTGACAGACTGGTTAGATTTTTACTTTATCCTCCTTACCTAGGGTATCTGAAAGATTTCCAGCTGTTAATCTCTTAAAACTTTTCCCTTCTCTATTCTTTTCCCTTTCCTTCTGGAATTCCAGTTAGACGTGTGTTAGATTTTCTCATTCTACTTTCCAGTCTCTTACTCTTTGTCCTGCATTTCGCGTCATTTCTTCAGCTCAACCTTCTCTGTTCAGATGAAACTGGGGTGATAGGATTTACAGAAGTCCTTCTATAGAGTTGTTGCTTTCTTGTGTGTGTGTGTGTGTGTGTGTATGACAGAGTCTTACTCTGTCACCTGGGATAGAGTAGTACCATGGCAGCATCATAGCTCACACAACCTCACACTCCTGGGCTCCAGTGATTCTATTGCCTCCATTTTTCTACTTTTAGTAGAAATGGGGTCTCGCTCTTGCTCGGGTTAGTCTCAACCTCCTGAGCTCAAGTAATCCACCCGCCTCAGCCTCCCAGAGTGCTAGGATTACAGGCGGCCTGGCTCTCTATAGTGTTTTCACTGCCAGTTGCTATAATTTTCATTTCTAGAAGTTTAGTTATCTCTATCCATCTGATTTTCATTTTCTATAATCACATTTCTCTTAGTTTTAATCCCATCACTCATTTCTTTAAATATACTTAAAATTTTATTAATTAATTTATTTATTTGCTATTTCCAGTAGCTGAGGCAAAAATCTTCACGAATTTGATTTTGCTGTTGTTTGCTGCCTCTCGGTTATAGCGTCAGAATGTCCTTTTGTATTACATGATGTGTGTGTGTGTGTATTTTTGACTGAACTCCTTAGAACTGTCACTCATTTCAGGACCCCATCAAACAAAATTCTCAGCTTGAGATTTTTCTGACTTCTAGGTAGTGTGCTTCATGATAGAGACATCTTCATGAGGGCTAGCATAGGAACTTGCTGTGGACATGTGTGCTTTTCTTAACCCTCAAGTGCCAAAGTAAATATAAGGCAGATCATTTCCCCCTGCTATTTCCCGTGGAGGGCAGGTTCATTTCTGTAATCTCTTAAACTGAAGAACCCTGGTCTCAAAGTAAATGTGTATACACATCGGAATACTGTACAACCTCAAAAAGAAGGCAGTTTTGTCATTTCCAACGCTATGAATGAACCTGGAGGACATTTTGCTACGTGAAATAAGACAGAAAGACAAACACCTCGTGAACCTGCTTATTTGTGAACTCTTAAAAAAGTCAAACATGCAGGAGAGAGTAGACCGGTGGTTACCAGAGGCTGGGGTGGGACGGTGACAGCAGAGGGATGAGGAGACGTTTTGGAGGTGTGTTGCACAGCCTGGTGACTATAGTTAGTAATGCATTGTTTATTTCAAAACTGCTAAAAGTAGATTTTAAATGTTGTTGCCACCAAAAAATGATACCTATGGGAGGGGAGGGACATGTTAATTGGCTTGATTTCATCAATCCACAATGTAACCATATCAGACATCACATGGTGCCCCATAAAGACCTACAGATGTTATTTGTCGATTAAAAAAAGTACTAATTCCATCATAGGCATCTCCTATTAAACTTCTCACTTTTTTTTTTCAGCCTGGGCTGGGTATGAACCTGCCACCTCCGGCGTATGAGGTTGGCGCCCTACTCCTTTGAGCCACAGGCACCGCCCTAAACTTCTCACCTTTTATGGACCTTAGGTTTTTGTCACTGGTCCCACAAACTTCTTGAAATGTGAAAAAACAGTTTGAGTTAATGAAGGTTCACCTAATGCTGTCAGAAGGAAACTCTGTGTTGTCCATACCTCCCTAACTTCTTGGCCTCACATGCTATTTGGCTTCTGAGAATTCTTATTTTCTTGACAGTTAACATGTGTAAGAAGATTTAAAAATATTTTAATGTCACCTAGTATTTTAACTACTCTCAGCTGGGGTGAGTTCAGTGGGTTTGGGTCCAGGCATTACCCTCTCCCTCATTGTGCTGGAATACAAGGGGCCTTTCCCCTTTTGGTCAACTGCTGTGTTTATTCCCCACGCCTAAAACAGTGTCCCACATGTTTATTATTTGTTGAATAAGTAACTGACTGTAAATTACTGCGAGTCCCTCTTTATCTTTTTAAGGAAATTGTAGCAATGAAACAGTTAATTGTCTTTGCAATAGACATGTGCAAAGATAATAATTATTGTTTATATAGGCCCCCAAATGCTACCAGTTTAAATGTCCATTAACATGGGAGTGGTGCAATATGTTATGGTAATTATATATAGTCTTTTAATTTTTTGAAGGCTAACGATGTGGAAAGATGTTTATGATAACTGTGTTAGTAAACTATAGTTTTTTTTTTTTGTTTTTTTTTTTGAGACAGAGCCTCAAGCT